AGACGATGACTGTGCATGCCTAATGATATCATTGTAACTTAATGTCTCTGCTCTGCTGTAGAGTATAATGAGGTTTAAACCACATCAAACCTGCAAGAATAATGATGACTTATCAATGCACCACGCCTCTCTGCACGAAGGTTTCATCATGCTAGTTTAGTGTCATCAGCGAAGTGTCGGATCAGTGCGACGGATGGTTGAATATTCAGCAGCAAATGTGTGTTTAAACGGTCTGAGATGCACTTTCATGTATTAACCAGAACTATATCCCTTTTGTTTACACTTGGTGAAGTAAAACGAGTAAGAATATTCCAACCAGTCGGAGCCTTTGGTTCATTTGGGCTTCGATTTAATCTAAAAATGAAACAATAAAGCAATTTTCTGTGAGTCTGAGATAAAGTAGTTGGATTTGTTTAAGAATGTGTGTGTGCGTGGGTGAACGACTGGATGTGTTGTGAAGCGCCTTGGGGGTTGTGGAACCCTAGCAGGTGCTTTACGAAATACAAGCCCTTACCCCCTTTTGGAAATGACCTTCGCTGGCCGACAAGCAGCAACAGGCCCTGTTCACACGGCAGGGTAACCGTGCCCATTTTTGATCCGATCCTTGCCTTTTAACAATCTTATCAGATAATCCCACCATGTGATGTGTTTTACTGCTCTGATCATAAATCCTGGCTTTCAAACATGTTACATTGTCTTGGTCTGAATTTCAGGGGAAAATGCATGTGCTGCACGTTGAATGTGACGTGTAGCCAATCAGAAAGCGAGGTGATATGCATTGCACCCTCCTCCCTCACCAGTTTGTTTACTTCAAAGTCCTGTTTGATTAGATGAGATTTTGTGGTTTTGTATTTGTTATGTAGTTTTAGCAGCTTTGCCACACACCACTCACTGCAGGACCAAAGCTGGTATGTCGTGATTTTCCTTTTTCATCACTACATGTGAATGTCATACAACACTTAAAAAATCCTGCCGTATGGACCGGGCTTTAGGTTGTTGATGTCTTTCATCTTTGGAATTATGTCAACACGCACTTGCTCCAGACCCACATTTCCCTAAGCTCCTGCTCAAACTTCCTGATGATCAGTTAATCAGCGTTTCATACTTGCAGCACTTGTCTGCTACTTCGACCACTCATTTCTTCAGAAGCATTTAAGGTGGATTTAGTATTTAAGATGGATTTATCATTTTACACACCAACTTTAGGCTTTGTATCTATTAAATGTTGGTGCAGAGCAACGATTAAAGAGTTCACCAGATGTTTACCTCATTTTCAGACCTGATGAGACACAAAGGATTTATTTTATATCTCACTTTAAAACATTTCTGGAGTGGTGTTTTCATAGTTCTAACCATGTCTGCACATCTTGTAAATCATGTATGTTTTTAGATTGGTAAATCTGATTAAACCCTGGATTTCTGCTTTTTTTCCAAATCAAAATTATTTCAGAGTTTTTTTTTCCTTCTTACTGACAGATTTAGTTTTTTCAGTGCATGCTTTCTTTTTACTCTGGTGTCTAATCAGAGCCATCAGTAACACCATGAACATGAGCCTTCACTGACTAACGAGCTTTCTCATACTTTTGTATCACCAAAGATGCAAAGTTTCAGTTTTGCTCCACTGTAAAGTGGAGACAAAAATATGAAAATCAAATGTGTTGCTGGTAAATTACTGCAGAGAGCAAAACGAAAGTCAGAAGTTCTGGTAATGTAATTTTTACATTTGATGACAGCTTCCAGCAGAACTACACATAAACGTTAGGCGGCACTTTTTCACATCCTTTTCTCCCACAATCATCATAGAAGAACCTTTCAGCCATAACAGCATCACAGTAAAGTACTTGGAGCGGCTAATAAAAGTAATGCTAACATGCATTTGCATTTTTAGGTGTACTTCAGAACCGCAGGTTCACACAACAAGGTGTGACCAGAGACCACAGCTTGTGACTAGCTGACTTTGGCTATGCTAATGCATCACACAGCCAACAGCTTTACATCACACTGATTGTGTTTTCCACATAAGGTCAACCCAGTGCAGAGCCAGGGCTCATCGAGGAGTTGACCAATGATGTGCGACGAGAGAGAAAGGGAGTGAGAAAGGAAAACAAACAAAACAAAACAAAAAACAACTCAGACACTCGGTTCCTCTGAGATGGAGCCGGCTCTGGTCAGTCACTTCAAAGAGCTGCTTCGACACATCACCTGTCTCTGCTGTCTGGGGCGTGCAGCAGGCTCATAACCTTATGGTTCTTCCTTTCTGCCTCTGTTCAGCGTCCATTTGTGATTCCTGCACTCAAACTGGGGTTGTTGCTTTAAAGAAACAAAGTCGGCCTAAATTTCTATAAACTACAGCTGAATTAACCAAAATGTCCCTGTCATTTTGCAACTTTAATCAAATAAAAATATTCATGATCAGAGACAGGATTCACTACATATTTGTGATTACACATAGCATCCTGGGATGTGCGGACATGTCTGCACATCCCAGACATGTTTGTAAACAAACCGTGAAAACAAACATGTTGCAGAGAAGAAATGGATTTGGGTGAAAGAAAGTGTTAAACAACATGTTAAAGGATGTAATATGCAGGAATACGTTAAATAAAGACGTTGGGGGCCGGTATGTGAACAAAATGAGCGTTATAAACGATTTGGAAAGACCCAATGTATCATTTGCATCTGCACAAGAGAAACGTTTGCATTTAGGAGATGTTCTCGTTGTGTTTTTTACATTTAACAATGTAAACAAGTTATCCAAGCAATGCTTTTCACACATTTCCTTTGATTCCCAGCCCCTGCCCTATTTTTAATCCTTGTTCGTGTCATGTCTCTGCCTCTTGTTGTCTGACTGCATGTTTCTTCTATTTCTGGAGCTTCTGTTTCTGTCCTGCATTAATGTCACCACAGGTGTCTCTCTGCTGACTCCTAATCATAACATTCCCATTTCTGTCACACAGAGAGCCCAACAGCTGGCTGAGCCCTGACGGAAACCTTTGTGTTACGGTTTTATCCGGCATCATTGGTGAACCCCTTAATAATGTGACACAGACGCTGACTTCCCACTGTAACTGCAGAAAAAATAAAGGTGTTTGGATGCTTCTGGCGCTTCTCTGTGATTGCAGAACTACATCTGGACTTTATAATGCAACTTTCCCAGAAAACAAGATAATAACCAGATAAAGTAAGTTCAAGCCCTGCAGTTAGGAAACTCACTTTTGGTGTTGAGTTTGAAGCACTCATCAGTCCAACCTGTTGTTTTGAAGCTTATTAGGTGGAACAAACGTCAGCAGCTCATTGGGCTGCTTCTCATGAAGCTGTGATGTTATCTGACTATGCTTTCTGATGACTTGATAGACATTATAGCACATTTATCCAAAATCACTTAGAGGCATTTGAGCTTTAGTCACATTTGTATTTCGAACCACTCAAATATTTGAAAAGATCCAGATTTTTTTAACAATATACACAGATAAAGTAAGACCAAGAGACTTAGTTTAATTCTGTAAGTGACTGATATTTGTGACTTTCTTTTTCCCTATAAGGCACACTTAGGTGACTGTATCATGGCACCATCTAGTGGCTGACAAGCATATAACACCAACAGTTTGTTGCTCTGTTTTTTTAAGGTGGCGACTTCACGTTTCTTGTTTATAAATGTGATTCTGTAGCCGACAAACAGAGCTAAAACACAGTTTTACAAGTATTATTCTCATGTCATGCTGTGTTTTCATACATTTATATTTTAAAGACTTTCTTGTTCGTGAAAAGTTCATAAACTTTGCATCAGCCAAAGTATTCCGTAAATTTGAAGCATGTAAGCGGTAGTCTTTTTTTTCTTTTTTTTTTTTTTACCGTGTCCTGCCTGGCCGTGAAGCAAACAGAATTGATGTCTGAATGCTGGTAACAAGCTTTACAGATTTACTCTCAGGCGGAGCATCAAAGCATCTGCTTTTAATGTCACACCTGATACTTAAAACTTTATTTTTATTGTTTTTGAATGCTTTGTAATTCTGACCAGACACGGAGACAGAGGTGAAAGAGAAAGGAAAAGACAAAAGGTGGTGGTGGGGGTGGGGGGGTGGGGGGTGGGGGGGGGGGGGGAGTTGGGGGGGGTGTCCACAAAAATAAACAATAATGAACAAGAGTCTGCTTCTAGACCTGCAGAAAAAGACAAAAATGCAAAAGAACAAAAAAATGGGACACAACAACAATACAACAAGATCAAGCTATCACTGCGTCAACTTGATGAAGAAATATATAATCAACATTGTTTAACTGAACAATCACACGATAATAAATCACAGTGCATTTAGTGCCAACCATAGTCTTAAGACATGTGTTGAACGTGCCCAAGCCCATACTTATGTGAGCACCTGTGTGTGTACACGCGCTTGCTTCTGTAAGGTTTATCTATAGGAGCGTCCAACAGAGAGTGTGAGGGACCACAGATCCGCCCCCCAAAGATGCGTAGGAGACGGGGGGAGCTCCAAGTCCCAGAGATCCAGGCGTTGCCCCAGAGCACAGGAACCCCAAGGAGACTGCAACCAGAAAGGCCCCCGCCCCCCTCGAGAGGCACAGAGGATCGCCCCGGGGGGCCACAACCAGCAGCCGGCAGAGTCCCGGGAGATATCCCGCCCGCAGCCTCCCACCCCCTAGCCGGCCGAGCCCGGGACCCAGCGACCCAGGACCCAGGGGCAACCATCCCCGCCGGGGACCCAGCAGAGCCCAGGGACCCAGACCCCACCAGGCAGCCACCGGGATTCATCAGGCAGATGCCTAAAATCTTAACCCCCCAGACCCGGTTGCCACGAACACTCAGGCAGACCAAGGCACAACCCCCCACACCAGGTGTGGCAGGGGGAGGGGGGATCTAAGCGGTAGTCTAACGCTATTGGTTAGTTCTTGTTGACGCTCAGTTTCCTATTCCACGGAGCTCTGCGGGGCAGAGGGCGTGCTTAGCAAAAGCACACCAAAAAAAGATGTATCGCTTGCATTAATCACTTTTACAGATCTCTGAAAAACCATACATCATTTCTGAAAGTAGAAAACTCCAGAAATCTACTTCAATGTAAACGTTGTTTTATGTTGTGGGTTTCAAAGGTTTGGAGTTCTGATCTGAAAAATCAGCAAACATCTGAACACCACTGATAACTGGTTCTGACACGTTTAAAAACAGCCACTAGAAATGCAACAAAGCTCTGCGCACATCTGTAAGAGCAGAAAGTGTTGAATGATGCTCCTTCATAAAGCCAAACAGATGTTTCTAGATCTTACAGCAGACCAAAACCGTTTGTTTCACTTGTACAAAATAATGTCCTAAACGTCTCACCTTTAGTATAAATTTGAAATCTTTGGGAAATCGGATGAATCTCTTTTTGCTGAATTCACATAAAAAACTCTTTTTCGTCAAAGTGATGAACTGCTCGTTCAAAAAAGATGCTTTGTTGGGTTTTTGCTTGATTGATTGACAGAAATATGTCATGCTTGTGCTAAAAGATGTGAAAACACCCACAGGCAGGGGATTTGTCCCCCGCCACTGTAGCCATTTGGAACCTCCCATAATGAATGATCTCCTCTTCCTGCTATGGCTTTGATCATGTTGTTTCTCAGTTGTCCCATGCCTGATAAACTGAAACAGCCAGTGAGCTAACCTTTTCCGAAGCCTCTCCATCGCTACTTTTCTTATGTATGGCCACCATTTCTAACGCTTGACCTGAGAGGCTCCGCCCCTTGTGAACGACCACACACCCCACCCTCGAGCTCCTGTTCTTATCTGGTGTTTCACTCAGTTTGTTGTCATTATGGACACGATTTCTCAGTCCCAGAACAAAGTTACTATGATTGTCAGTGCCGTCTTGTAGCTCTGTGCATTGACCGGGAGAATTTGCAGGCCTTCCTCTCCTTCCCCACCTTGGCATTCTGCTCCCTAGATGCACGAAGCAGCAAAAGGGTTCTGTTTTGCACACTGCCTGGAAGCCCCTCTTGAAGTTCTTGTTGTAGTAGCCATAGACGATGGGGTTTACACTGGAGTTAGAGAAAGCCAGCCAATGGGCAAAGGGGAAGATGTAGCTGGTCATGAGGTCCAGCTGGTCTCTGTCCAAGCCACCATAGTCCGCCATCATCATGAGAGTCCAGAGTGGCAGCCAGGACAGCATAAACAGCAAAGCCACCACAATAAGCATTTTTATAACTTTGATCTTCTTATGTGACACCACTGGCTGACCTTGCCTTCTGCCTCCCACCTGGACAGTGGTGTGGGCCAACTGTGGTTCTCTGTGTGACACTGCAGAGGAACAGAGTTTGACTCCGACGCTAACATACATCAGTGTAATCACGATGAGAGGAACCAGGTAGATGTGGGCAAACAGAACCGCCGTGTAGACCTTCCTCATCTGAGGGTTAGCAAAGTTTTCGTAGCAGCTGTACAAAGGCAACGTATGGTTGAAATCATCGTTATACACCATGTAATGAAAAGGAACTTCCTCCACAGTCAGTGCTACTGCAGCTGGACACATGATAGCCACCGCTAACACCCAGATGGTCACAATGGCTACCTTGGCAACAAGTAACGTCAGCTTGGGTTGTAGAGGATACACTATACAACGGAACCTGCAGAGAAGGAAAGAAGAGCATTGATACTCACTAGGAGACAAACAAACTGTAAATAGTTAAATATTAATGTTAATGTTAAAAACTAAAAACAATGAATATGTTCAAATTCAGGGGCTGCATCCTTTGAAGGACCAGGCATACTTGGTTGATGAAGGTTGTCTAAAATACTCCAAAAGATGTGGATGGGCATTTTCTAGACCAACCTTAATGTTTTAACACATCACAGTGATGTTCACAATGACAGAGAAAAGCTAGCTAATAAAGTACACTGTTAGTTACTCATTAACATATTAAAGTTGTCCATCCATCCATTCATTCTTATTCACTTATCCAGTGTTGGGTGGCGGGGGCAACAGCCTAAGTCAAGAGGCCCAGACTTCCCTCTACCCAGAGGTTTCCTGGCCAGAGAGACATAGTCCCTCCAGCGTGTCCTGGGTCTTCCTTTAGGCCTCCTCCCAGTTGGACGTGCCAGGAAAACCTCACTAGGGAGGCGTCCAGGAGGCATCCTGACCAGATGCCCCGAGCCACCTCAACTGGCTCCTCTCGGTGTGGAGGAGAAGCAGGTCTACTTTGAGCCCTTCCCATATGACCGAGCTTCTCACCCTATCCTAAGGGAGAGCTCACACACTCTGCAGAGAAATCTCATTTCGGCCGCTTGTATCCGCGACCTTGTAGGAATGTAAAGCGACCGGTGAATGGACAGCTTCGCCTTCTGGCTCAGTTCTCTTTTGACCACAACATTTCTGTGCAACTCCTGCATCACTGCAGGCACGGCACCAATCCGCCTATCGACCTCTGCCCCATCTTAACCTCACTCATAAACAAGATCCCGATATACTTAAACTCCTCCACTTGAGGCAGGAACTCGTCCCTGACCTGGAGAAGGTATTCTACCCTTTTCCGACTGAAGACCATGGTCTCGGATTTAGAGGAGCTGATTATCATCCCAGCTGCTTCACACTCAGCTGCAAACCGCTCCAGTGAGAGCCGGAGATCACGTTCTGATGAAGCCAACAGGACCACATCATCTGCAAAAAGCAGAGACCTGGTCATCAGGCCACCAAAACGGATGCCCACCACACCTTTACTGCGCCTGGAAATCCTGTCCATAAAGGTTATGAACAGAATCAATGACAAAGTGCAGCCTTGGCGGAGTCAAGTTGTTATTGAAGTTGTTACAAATATCACTCCAATTTCTTACGTTCAAATCTGAATACTTTTGACAGTTTTTATAGATTGGGAGAATGCTGCAAGTGTTGAGCTGCATGCAGCAAATAAAATACATCAAAAACCAAGAACAAGAGTAACAGGAAACTTCAGCAACTCCACGTTTAAATGCTTCCTAACCTTCAACAGTATCAACATTATGCATTGATGATTAGTAATTATATTTACTACGGTCTGCAAGGTCTCTGAGTACCTCACACTAACCTTTCAATAGCGATGGCCACCAGGGTGAAGACTGAAGCTGATACAGACACACCTTGGACAAATCCACTCATCTTACACACGATGTTGGAGAACGGCCATCCTGTAGAAACACAACAATCACAGTCTTAGCAACACACTCAAAGCTAGTAGCAACATAACATTTCTTACTCTTTTTGAAGACTGTGTCCAAATAACAGGGGCAGCAGACCAAACCAATTCCAAGACACTTTCACCAGCTTTTGCGTGAGTTCCCAAGGCCTTTTCAAGTCAGTGTTGTGATATAATTTCCTCCAATGTCTAGACAGCCCAAGGGTCTCCTTCCTGCTTTCTGTGGATGAAACACCTTCCTCAGGAAGCATTCAGGAAACATTCTGCCAAATGTCTGAACCACCTCACCTGGTACATGAGCCCAGCCACCTGGAAGCAAACAGCCTGCATTCATTATCTTGTTCTGTCAGTTGTTATCCAAATATTATGGCCACAGAAGGCGTTTAGAATCTGGAAGAGCACCTCACAAGGTGGCACCTTGTTGCAGTAGGAATATATGAAAGAACAGAGCAGACTGGGCTTCTTGAGAAAGCTGAGATCATTCAGTGTTTGTAGAAAAATGTTCCATAACAGACTATAGACCTGCAGTCATCTGTTGGGGTAGCAGCATCAGTTGATTGTAAAAAAGAGTGGATTTTTTCTGGTGCCTTTAAAGCTGTTTAGACCAAGGAGGAGGCCCATGAGACAAAGATGGACAACCCTGAACACTGTGCGCAAGCACACACACACACACACACACACACACACACACACACACACACACACACACACACACACACACACACACACACACGTGCACTCTTATCATTGTAAAGACTGTAAATCATCTTTTCTTTTCAACGTAAACTTCACTATACAAACAGAACACTCCAAACCTACCCTGAATTCTGCCTGCATACACTCCCCCAGTAGCTCTAGGGCTCAGACACAAAGGCAGAAACAACTAGAGCATATAAGTGTTTTCTCTCTGACCGTGCACATAAGTCACAGCACAGATATTTTTGTGAACATCTTGTTTATTTACATCAAGCTACAATCCTTTCTGTTGTGATTTCTCTAAAAAAGATGGAGGTATAGCTGTTTACAATTTTTAATTACTCATTTCTTTACTTGTTCATTTTAAAACAGTTTTCATGTTTTTTTTCATGATTTTCTAAGGATGTGTGCTACAACAACAATCAGCTGTTACAGATCTCCTTCAGCCTGCAGCAAAGATCTCACCAAACAATCACCCAACATCACGAAGCTGAATTAAAATATGTTTAACTGGGTAATCTGAACCTGATTAGCCCCACTTGGACATTTCTGCTTGACCTCATTTTGACAGATGCTCCACACAAGTATACTGGTGCTGACGTATTTGCAAAGGAGATGGCAAGCACTTGAGCCACACCCTGTCCTTGAGACACACCCTGTCTTCTGGGTCGGTAACAAGATGGCGCCTGTGCTTGGTTTAACGGTGGTCACCAGTGTTGGGCAAGTTACTTCAAAACTGTAATGCATTATTTATTACTTGTTACCCTCATTTTTAAGCAGTGGCGGCTGGCCAGTAGAGGGCGAAAGGGCGCCGCCCTCCCAGTTTTCCCCAGTGTTTTTCATTTTTATTTAAAAAAATAAATAAATAAAATTAACAATAATCACATATTCTAAGTTAATTGTGTGATTTGTAACAAAAACATATCATATATATATCTATCTATCTATATTGGTGAGAAGCTCTCTGCCGAGCGGTGGAGGTGACAGAAAGGCTGTGGGCTGTGTTTCAATCGCCCAAACAGCACGGAAGCAGCCGGCCAATTGCTGACAAGAAAATCAAACGGTAGGAATGGGAATGTATCCAATCAGCGTCGACGTTGATTCAGAAGCATGATGGGCGATAGAGCTACCGCCCAAGGCTTTCGTTGGTGTTCGGTAGAACTTGGCAGAGTCTCGACTACTCCAGCACGTACACCAGGAAGGCTTGGCTAGCTGGATGCAATCACGCTAATGCGTTATTTTGCTTCCCGTGTTTGTTATTCAAAACGACTGGGATAGATGAGGCATGGATTGAGTCAGGAGTTACGGACATGAAACATTTTTCTGAGAAGGTGAAGAAACACGAGTTATACCGGGCACACATGGACAACACGGTGAAGCTAGCTATGCTAGGCAGAGCTAACATTGCCATGCAGCTAGAGACGAGGGACACAGGCTTGCAGTGAAGAAACACAATGACGAAGTGGATCAGAACCGGCACATTTTGTCCAAGAGAGAGATGTCAACACAGTGTATGAGCACAAGGATGACCTCCTCAGATTTTTCCAGATGATCAGAGACTCGGATGACTTTGATCCAATCACTGAGAGAGAGGCAGGAGGCTTTGTGAGAATGCTGGAGGAAGAAGATTTCGGCTTTCTGCTGGCATTGTGTCACAAGATCATGCCACATGTGGACATGCTGTTCAACCAGCTGCAGAAGAGGAACATTGACTCTGTCTACATCACAGGGGTCATCCAGAGCTTCACCAACAGCATGCAAAAGATCAGGTACACACTTGTTTATTTAATATTATTGTGATGAAATTCTCCAGTATGTTAGTTTCACAAACAGTAATGTGGATGTGCACCATTTATGGTCATGTTATTTTATGTGCAATTTAATGCAGTATTTTTCAACCTTGGCCCGCAAGGCAGTGTGCCAATAGTCAGACATACGTGGATTAATCCCTTTGTCCAATAATGTAAGACAGGAAATAAAAGAGCTGTGCTTAATTCAGGAAATAGTGAAGTTGTGCACAAAGCTCAGAAAGCACAAGTTTGTTAAAAAATAAAATAAATAGCACAGCCCCACCAAAAATATTTTTAACCAGCCGCCACTGTTTTTAAGTAATTCATTACAATATAATATTACTGATTTTAAAATGTAAGGCATTACACTACTTTTGCATTACTTTAAGTTACTTTCACCAAAACAACTTCAATATGAATCTGGTAATCTGACGCTCAGTGAGCTCATGACATATATGTGGAAAGTGATGTGGTGTCTGAGCTAGGATTGCTGTTAAAAACAGTCAGATATAATAACAGTGATTTAAAATGATTGTTTATTAAATAAAAGCAACAACAATCTTTACTCTCAGCAGGCTGCCATCTTATATTAACTGAGCAGGGAGTGAGGTGGTGGGGGCTCCAAGCCTATATTTGCCTTGGTCCCCAAATGCCTTGATACGGCCCTGGATGTGGCACTGACTTCTGGGGTGATCTGATTCTATCACATGTATAAATATTAAATGCTTATATATTATTGCTTTTCACTGGTAAAGCTGTGTATTGGGGATAAATCTACCTCTTTTTTTCTTTTCAAGCCCTTTGTTTTGTTTTCTTGATTTTAATTGAATAATTTCCAGTCTTTTCTCTCTCTAACCTTCCTGCATGCTGCATGTTTTCTCCGTCTTCCAGAAAAAACTGTTTCCTAGACTTCCTACTTTCTAACGATCAGCCAGAGGGATCTTCACATGCGCGGCGCTCCAGCAGTAATGAGTTGAAATCACCGGGGCACAGATTATGAACTCAGCTGAGGCAAAGCACGTCAGAAAAGCACAAAATACCAGAGAATATGCGCTGATATGAACGATCGCAAGTGAATTATTTTGTTTTAGTGGAGCGATTTTGTGAATGTTACAGCGGCCGCGTGCAGGATGCAGCTGGAGTATTTGAGCCGTTACCGCTGCTTCCTCTCTGCCCGCAAAGCTGAGTCCATAAATGACGTAATATATGCAGATACTGGATCTTTCTTCGGGTTTCCCGCAATTTGAATTTTGAAGGAACACATCTTGATTCTGGGCTTAAAAATGCATTGTAACTACCGCGTTACTGACAATTGTACCGAGTAAATATTACCATTTTCTTTCCCTGTAATGCCTTACATTACCACGTTACAGCAAAAAGCAATGCATTACAGTAATTAATAACTTTTGTATCGCATTACTCTCAACACTGGTGGTCACCGGCCACTTTTCAAACTTTTCTCTACTAACTTTCTCCTTTCCTCCTTGCATCTGTCTGCAGTCCTCTAGTGTCCCGGCTACCATCTTCTATGATCGCCAGACTCTTTTGTCCTTCCGTTCATCTGCAATCACCCAAGGTGCACCAAAGATTTACCTCCCTGTTTGTTTACATGAGCGGCGCGCTGGCCCAGAGCCAAATGCCGATTCCTAACTGAACACATCCAATGATGTTTATCCGATCCCGGGAAAACATTGAACAAAAGGGGTAAACGAGCAGGAATCCAGGTGAGAATAAGACTTTTCTTAACTCGTGGTTTATCTAGTAAACATTGGTGTGATCTTTTAGCTTCTTGTCCTTTGTTTGGCGACCAGAGCGCCACTCCTACATTCCCGCCAGGCTGCCAAGTGGCACGGTTTCTCAGTCCAACAATGGGCCAGTCCCATCTGTACCGGGTCGGCCCGGGCCGGGTAGCGTAGGTTGTTTACATATCTGGGTGGCCTGGTATTTTTCCAGGCCAACCAAGGCTCATTCTCAGCCCTCTTCTCGAGGGGGTCTGCTTCAGGCCGACCAGGGCCAACACACCCACTGCTGACAGCAAATTCACACCTTCCATTAGAGCAAGCCTCTGATTGGTGGGTAGAATAAGCCCAAATGCGCTTAAGGCAAGGATGTGTGGAATCAACCGGGCCAGGCTGGGGCCGACTGGGGCTACCCGGCCCGGGCCGACCCGGTACAGATGGGAATGGCCCACAAGTTTCCTAAGGTCTGCTTATCCTCATTCTTTAGTGGTTTCTCCTCCTATTCCTTCCATGAGTGTTTTTTGTAAACACCGTGGATCTAATCCTGCTAATTTACATCCATTAACTCCAGCTGTTTCTGATTCTTCCACCTCACTCAGCATGGCTCTATTAAATACTCATTCCATTAACGACAAGTCCTTCCTGCTTAGTGATCTAATTCTCTCTAAGAACCTGGATTTTCTGTTTCTGACTGACATGTGGCAGCAAACACCTGATTATTCTGATCTGACTGAACTGCCCGAGTGTTTTTTCTTTTATTAGCCAGCCCCGGGGTTCTGGTCATGGTGGAGGCCTAGCTGTTGCCTTTAGAAACCATCTTCCACGTAGCTCTACAACCGCTGGTCGCTTTGCTTCCTTTGAACTGCAGCTGATTAAAGTCAGGCATAAGAACCCGTTCCAGACCCAGGGTCCAGACCAGTAAGCAGAGTCGTAGTTTAACCCACCCCTCTGCAGCTTCTGTACTGTTACCCACCCACTACCCCATAGAGACAGTGTCCTGCCCACGGCCAAAATCACACAGATTAAATATCAGGCTTAATAAAGCAAATCATGGAAATCTCATTAACATTAGAACAAATTCAAATGAGCAGAAAACTAGAAAAATTAAATGTGGGTTGTTGAACATTAGATCCATTTTTTCTAAGACTTTGTTAGTTAATGACTTGATTTGTGATAATCAGATCTCTTTGCTCTCTCTCACAGAATCCTGGCTGCTGCAAGAGGACTATGTTAGCTTAAACGAGTCGACTCCTTCAAATTATTTAAATCATCATATTGCTCGAAGTACAGGGCGAGGAGGAGGAGTAGCAACCATTTTTCATTCAGATTTATTAATCAGTCCCTTACCAATTAATAGCTACAGTTTGTTCGAACATCTTATTCTTAGTTTTCCTAATCCAGATTGCAAAACTGTAAAACCACTCTTGTTTGTAGTTTTATATCGTCCACCAGGCCCTTACTCTGAGTTTTTGGATCAGATCTCTGATTTTTAGCCAATTGGCTAAATTAACAAAACATGGTGGTAAAGAGGACACTTATTTAGGATGGGTAGCTATAGAAAAAGAATTTACTGCCCCCTTTTGGCCTTTGGAAGCTTTGTCACAAAAAAGAGCACAAAAGAAGGAAGCTGAGTAAAAATAGAATAATCCAATATTACAGCATTCGAAAAATATCTGGATCAAACTCCACAAATGGTTAAAGATATCCCAGTATAAACAATTATATTCATCAATTTGGTGTAACCCAGCAATAAGGGTGGGAAAGGAAGTCATCTGTTGGAATAGGATCTAATCGACAATAGAACAGTGAAATCTTATCAAGACTTGAGGCTACAATTTAACGTGGATAATATAGGTAACTTTTAAGGAGATATTTCCAAATAAGAAGTAGCTTGGACAGTTTAGTTAAGGGGTTGCCTGAAGAGGACAATGTTGTACAGCTCTATTTAAAATTAGCAGAAAAGTATCAGTCAGCATCTATGTTTATAGGATGGCAGCCAAAGTATTATATGGAAATTATGATGGCTTATGGCATGTTTGGCAGAGGGATTTAAGCATAAGGTTGGATAGAGATTCATGGCAAAGGATAATGTCCAATATGGGATGGTTTACCAGGGAAGCACGAGAAAAGCTGACACATAAGATAATCCATAGATATTTTACACCGGTTCATCTTTACAAAATGGGTTTAATGAAGAACAATTTATGCTGGAAATGTAAAAAGCAGGAAGGTACTTTTATTCATTTTATGTGGTCATGCTATGTTGTTCAACCTTTTTGGAAAAAAAAATTGAATACAATGCAAGAGTGGTTGAGTATACCGCTCCCGGAAACTGCTCAACTTTGTTTATTAGGAGACATCGTGTGTACCGAATATATCTACAACGGCAGGGGCCCTGGCTCTTACAGGTTTTATTTCAGCAGCTAGAGTCATACTGCGTAAATGGAAAAGTTTTGAGGCACCTGGATACAGAGACTGGATAATAACGATGACGGAGATTGCATCTTATTAACTATTAATTGCTAAAATGAAGGGGAAAAAAAGACTCATATTTTGAAACCTGGAATGAATTTTTGTTTTTTATTGGTAAAAAGATATAAAAGTTGTTGGATAGCATGTTTTGAATTTATTATGAATGGTGGTTGTGTGTGGTTTTGAGTTAGCCTGTGCTGTAACGGGGTGGGTTATTTGGATATTTTGTTTTTGTTTGTATGTAAAAATTTGGAAAACTTAATTAAAAAAACTTGAATAACAAAAAATATCTCAGATTTTTTATCTGATTTGGTGCTAAATACTGATAAGGTCATTGTAGTGGGGGATTTTAACATTCATGTGGACATTGAAAATGATAGCCTCAATGTAGCCTTTAGTAATATCTTAGACTCAATTGGTTTTACTCAAAGAATACATAGCTCCACCCACTCTTGCCATCATACGTTGGACCTTGTGCTGACTTATGGCATAGAGTGTGAGGAAATAACGATCTTTCCACATAATCCAGTCCTCTCGGACCACTTTCTGATAACCTTTGAGTTTTTTATAACTGAGTTCTCGAGACATGAAAGTAAATGTCACTATAGTCGGTCTCTATCTAACAACGCAGTTGCATCTTTTAAATCAACTGTTCCATCTTTACTGTCCTCAGCATCTCAGAGCCATGTAGCAGAGGGCAATATTTTCAGTTCTAGCCCCTCACAAATTGATGCCCTAGTTCATCATGTTAATTCCTCTTTACGTGTGGCATTAGATGATGTTGCCCCTTAAAAAAGAAGGTAATTAGGGACAGGAAGTTGGCTCCCTGGTTTAATTCTCATTTACGAGCCTTAAAACAAAACTCTGGGAAATTGGAGAGAATATGGCGTTCTACGTACCATGAGGAGGCCTACCTATCCTGGAAAAATAGTCTTGTGCTTTATAAAAATAAGCTTCGACAAACTAGAACTGCATTTATTGAGGAGAATAAGCACAATCCTAAATTTCTTTTCAGTACAGTTGCTAAACTTACACAGAATCATAGCTCTGAGCCATCTATTCCCTTAGCCCTCAGCAGCAACGACTTCATGGGATGTTTTACAAGTAAAATTAATTCTATTAGAAACAAAATCTTTAGCATCCTCCCTAATGCGATTTCTTCTTCCTCAGTAAGTGAGGCAGCATCAGAGGTGACTGTAGAACCTCATCTGTGCTTGAACTGTTTTGATCCAGTTGAGCTTTCAGAGTTATCAAAAATATTAGCTTCATCTAAACCAGGGGTGTCAAACTCATTTTAGCTCAGGGGCCACATTGAGGGAAATCTAGTCCCAAGTAGGCCGGAGCGGTAAATAAAAAAAAAAAACTTCAGATTGTTTTCTTTGTTTTAATACAATCAATGTAAAACAAGGCTGGAGCCTGATGACAGTGTAGTACAAGTACAACACCTGAAGTGTACTTGAAAATTTGAAAAAAAAAAATCAACAAATAAAAAAAACATTCCTTAGTGATTCAAAGAGCTTACAGATCACATGGCAAGATCAGTTTCATGCAGCACTTAAAGTATATTTGACTCATTTTACTTTACATCTTTTAGCTTTCACCAGCACATCAATATCAGAAGTCACATCCTGAGTGGCGGCCAATTTCAGGATGTGATTCAAGTTCTTGTGTGAGCCTTGAGCGCAGCTTTGTTTTATTTATACTCATTACAGAGAAAACTTGCTCACAATGAAAAGTTTATTTTCACTCTACATTGTAAAGTATGAAAATAAAGTTTACACAACCATCTCACGGACCGGATTTAACCCGCTTGCGGGCCGGATGCGGCCCGCGGGCCGCATGTTTGACACCCCTGATCTAAACCTTCAACTTGCATTTTGGATCCAATCCCAACCAAATTATTTAAAGAAGCATTTCCTTTGGTTACTGCCCCCATTCTAGATATAATCAATCTATCCTTAGTAAATGGATATGTACCAAAGGATTTTAAGGTTGCTGTAATCAAACCTTCACTTAAGAAGCCATCTCTGGATCCAGATGACCCAATGAATTATAGACCAATATCTAACCTTCCATTTTTATCCAAAGTCCTGGAGAAAATAGTGGCCATCCAAGTTTGTGAGCATTTGAACTCTAATGCTCAGTTTGAGGAATTTCAGTCTGGTTTTAGAGAGTTTCACAGCACTGAAACCACATTAGTGAGAGTTACAAATGATATTCTCATGGCCTCAGATAAGAATCTTGTGTCTGTTCTGGTCTTGTTAGATCTCAGTGCTGCCTTTGACACAGTTGATCACAATGTTCTTTTAGAA